ATTGATCATCTAGCACCACTTATTCAGATGTAATTGATAGAAATCTCATACATGTAAGTACTCAGTATGAACATGCAGGGTAGGAATGAACAGCCCACATATGTCTCTTTTTCAGTTAACTACAAAAAGCAAGATGTCAAAATAGTTATCCCTCAACCAACATTGTGCAAACATATGCATTTAAGAGTGCTTAGTGTTATATGGATTTATAAGGCACTTAGTATTTTGTCCTAGTATGAAAACCATACACAGTGAATCATAAAACAGTAATTGAGAATACATATATATACACGTAATTGTAAAATATTCAGAAGTCATTCAGAGTATAGCTACAGTATTTCACCAATCCTGGGGCTTATTCAAGATGGTGCAATTTTACAGAAAGTTCAGATAGAAATGTATTGTGCAGAACAGGCTTGATAATTCCTGAATAATATACCTTTTATTTATAATTGCAACATTCTAAACATTGTACCCAGGTGGGTAAGCCCCTGATCAATTCCTCGATGACAAATCAACTCTCACATCTTTGGCTCTGCTTTCTGGTGTATGAAGAGTGCTCTCTAGTGGTATACTGAAGAAACTTGCACACTGTCTATCCCACACATTGAAAGGTTCTCTATGTGAATCAATTCCACCTGCAAATCACCTAGCCCCTAAGGATGTATGTATGACAATGTTACTTTCTAAATTGAAGAATGTACTCAGTGTTATCAATTGTAGCAATCTAGCCAACTATCCACAGCGGTATTGCTTCACAAGGGAGTGAAAAAGCCATTTAGCAAGTCAAATTCTTTAGGTTATAGCACAAAATCATACCATGGATGATGGTGCTCTTTCTAAATGTCACGATCGTCTGAAGGAGGAGACCAATGCGCAGCGTTGCGAGTGAACATGATGACTTTATTAACTTAAAGCAACCACGAAGAAAACAACAAATGACGATACGTGAAGTTCTAAACTGAAATACGACTAACAGCAACAAAGAAACAATAACCCACAAAACAAAGGTGAAAACACACAGAATATATATGGCTCCCAATCAGAGATAACGAGCCGACAGCTGACACTCGTTACCTCCGATTGGGAGTCATCGACCAATCACCACATGACACAAACAAAATGAAACTCACCCATACCACACACCACCAAATGAAATACACCCAAACACAAGAAAATGAACAACCCTGGCTCAATATAAACGTCCATAGAGCCAGAGTGTTACAGTACCCCCCCCTAAAGGTGCGAACTCCGGGCGCACCAACATCAGGACTAGGGGAGGGTCTGGGTGGGCGTCTGTCCATGGTGGCGGCTCTGGCCCCGGTCGTGATCCCCACCCCACCACAGTCACAACCTGCTTTGGTAGCCTCCTCCCAATGACCACCCTCCACCTAACCCCACCTGGACTAAGGGGCAACCCCGGACTAAGGGGCAGCATCGGCCTAAGGGGCAGCACCGGGATAAGGGGCAGCACCGGGATAAGGGGCAGCACCGGACTACGGGGCAGTACCGGACTAAAGGGCAGTACAGAACTAAGGGGCAGCACCGGGCTAAGGGGCAGTACCGGACTACGGGGCAGCACCGGGCTAAGGGGCGGCACCGGACTCAGGGGCAGCACCGGACTAAGGGGCAGCACCGGGCTAAAGGGCAGCACCGGACTAAGGGGCAGTACCGGACTACGGGGCAGCACCGGGCTAAGGGGCGGCACCGGACTCAGGGGCAGCACCGGACTAAGGGGCAGCACCGGGCTAAAGGGCAACACCGGGCTAAGGGGTATCCCCTGACTAGATGGCGGATCCTGGCGGGACGGCTCTGGCGGATCCTGGCGGGACGGCTCTGGCGGATCCTGGCTGGACGGCTCTGGCGGATCCTGGCTGGACGGCTCTGGCGGATCCTGGCTGGACGGCTCTGGCGGATCCTGGCTGGACGGCTCTGGCGGATCCTGGCTGGACGGCTCTGGCGGATCCTGGCTAGACGGCTCTGGCGGATCCTGGCTGGACGGCTCTGGCGGATCCTGGCTAGACGGCTCTGGCGGCTCCTGGCTGGACGGCTCTGGCGGATCCTGGCTGGACGGCTCTGGCGGATCCTGGCTAGACGGCTCTGGCGGATCCTGGCTGGACGGCTCTGGCGGATCCTGGCTGGACGGCTCTGGCGGATCCTGGCTGGACGGCTCTGGCGGATCCTGGCTAGACGGCTCTGGCGGATCCTGGCTAGACGGCTCTGGCGGATCCTGGCTAGACGGCTCTGGCGGATCCTGGCTGGACGGCTCTGGCGGATCCTGGCTGGACGGCTCTGGCGGATACTGGCTGGCTGACGGATCTGGCTGCTCATGGCTGGCTGACGGATCTGGCTGCTCATGGCTGGCTGACGGATCTGGCTGCTCATGGCTGGCTGACGGATCTGGCTGCTCATGGCTGGCTGACGGATCTGGCTGCTCATGGCTGGCTGACGGATCTGGCTGCTCATGGCTGGCTGACGGATCTGGCTGACGGATCTGGCTGCTCATGGCGGGCTGACGGATCTGGCTGCTCATGGCTGGCTGACGGATCTGGCTGCTCATGGCTGGCTGACGGATCTGGCTGCTCATGGCTGGCTGACGGATCTGGCTGCTCATGGCTGGCTGACGGATCTGGCTGCTCATAGCTGGCTGATGGTGCTGGCTGGGAGACTGGCGGTGGAGGCGGACCCCAGCCTCGGATTGCAGTCAACATCTCCAGCAGGGCGGCTCCCATCTGCAGGAGCTGCTCTTCCTGGTCCCGAACCCGAGCTTCCAGTCTAGTATGGGCTGCGTCGGCTCCTGCTGATTCCATAGCAGATGTATGATTCTGTCTGGCGGAAGGCTCTAGCGGCTCCTGTCTGGCGGAAGGCTCTGAAGGCTCATGGCAGACGGACGGCTTTGCAGGCTCAGTACAGACGGGCGGCTTATGCAGCGCTTGGCAAACGGGCAGTTCAGACGCCATAGGGCCGACGGGCAGTTCAGGCGCCGTTGGGCAGACGGCAGACTCTGGCCGACTGGTAACGCACCCCGTAGGATTCGTGCGTGGAGCAGGAACAGGCCGGGCTGGGCTGGCGACGCGCACCTTATCCCTGGTGCGAGTGGCCGGAACAGGCCGGGCCGGGCTGGCGACGCACATCGTGGACCTGGTGCGTGGAGTAGGAACAGACCGGTCCGTACCGGGAACACCCACCACTGGCCTTAACTGGGGATCAAGAACGGACCGGACCAGACTGGGAACACACTTCAGTCTCTCATGCCGTGCCACAACAACTTCCCTCCCTCTACTCGCCAATGGCTCCCGTAATCCGATAGCCTTTTCTCCAGCTCTACCTGTGGCAGCCTCCTGCTGCCCAGCTGCCCAAGCCATGTGCCCCCCCCCAAAAATTTCTTGGGGTTGCCTCTCTTCCACGGGCTTCCAGCCTCGCCTTCGCGCTGCCTCCTCGTACCACCTCCTCTCGGCTTTGGCTGCCTCCAGCTCTTCACGAGGGAGGCGATATTCTCCCGGTTGTGCCCAAGGATCCTTTCCGTCCAATAACTCTTCCCATGTCCAGACCTTAGGAGGCGTCCATAACTCCTGTGTAGGTAGGTCCTGTTGCCGCTTGTTACGCTGCTTGGTCCTTTTGTGGTGGGTTATTCAGTCACGATCGTCTGAAGGAGGAGACCAATGCGCAGCGTTGCGAGTGAACATGATGACTTTATTAACTTAAAGCAACCACGAAGAAAACAACAAATGACGATACGTGAAGTTCTAAACTGAAATACGACTAACAGCAACAAAGAAACAATAACCCACAAAACAAAGGTGAAAACACACAGAATATATATGGCTCCCAATCAGAGATAACGAGCCGACAGCTGACACTCGTTACCTCCGATTGGGAGTCATCGACCAATCACCACATGACACAAACAAAATGAAACTCACCCATACCACACACCACCAAATGAAATACACCCAAACACAAGAAAATGAACAACCCTGGCTCAATATAAACGTCCATAGAGCCAGAGTGTTACACTAAAGACCCTAAAGCTGTGCCAGCTAAAGTCTGTGCACAATGCCTAATTAAACTTAGCCTCAATTAATTAAAACATAAAACGGGGGGATATCTGAAACTACAAATAGGTTAGGTCCAATTTAAAATACATCATATAAAAGCTAGTGCTAGGGGTGTACAGCCGAGACCACCCATGTCTAGCTCCCTCCACACTAGTTACTGCATGGATCACTAATCGCAATCTGAGATCCACAGGTATAATTTAAATAAATAGTGTTCACACTAATAACCTAATGCAGGATTAACGCAAAGCTCATAGTGTACTGTATGGCTCTGGTGGCCCAGTGGTCATATGGGGGGACAGTGACCCAGTGGTCATTGGGAATGAAGTGGTTTAGGGGTAAAAGAAAACCAGTGGTAATGGGGGGGGCCCCAATGCCCCAGGGTCAATGGGATGCCCCAAACCCAGGGGTTTTAATGGGAACTAGCCCAGTGGCATGGGGGGGGACAGAAACCAAGGGGAAGGGGGGTTTTGACAGTGACCAGTGGTATATGGGGTGCCCTTAACCCGGGGTATATGGGGGGGAAGGAAGTGGTTAAAGGGGGGTGAAAAAAAACCCCAGTGGGTTTTTTATGGGGTGACAGTAACCCAGGGTCATAGGATGTCCCGGGCCCAGGGTCATAGGGGTGACAGTAACCCAGTGGTTATGGGATGCCCCTACCCCAGTGGTCATAGGGGGTGGGGAACCCAGTGGTATAGGGATTCCTCCCCCAGGGTCATATGGGGGAAGTAACCCCAGTGGTATTGGGGGGAAGGACCCGGGGGTCATGGGAGCCCCTACCCCAGGGGTCATATGGGTGACTTTTAACCCCAGGGTCATAGGGGGTTGACCGTACCCCAGTGTCATATGGGGTGACAGTAACCACAGTGTCATATGGGTGACAGTAACCCAGTGGTTATATGAGGTGACAGTAACCCAGTGGTCATATGGGATGTCCCTAGCCTAGTGGTCATATGGGGTGAGAGTAACCCAGTGGTAATATGGGATGTCCCTGGCCCAGTGGTCATATGGGATGTCCCTAGCCCAGTGGTCATATGGGGTGACAGTAACCCAGTGGTCATATGGGATGTCCCTAGCCCAGTGGTCATATGGGGTGACAGTAACCCAGTGGTCATATGGGGTGACAGTGACCCAGTGGTCATATGGGATGTCCCTAGCCCAGTGGTCATATGGGGTGACAGTAACCCAGTGGTCATATGGGGTGACAGTAACCCAGTGGTCATATGGGGTGACAGTAACCCAGTGGTCATATGAGGTGACAGTAACCCAGTGGTCATATGGGATGTCCCTAGCCTAGTGGTCATATGGGGTGAGAGTAACCCAGTGGTAATATGGGATGTCCCTAGCCCAGTGGTCATATGGGGTGAGAGTAACCCAGTGGTCATATGGGGTGACAGTAACCCAGTGGTCATGTGGGGTCCCACGGGGGTATGAAAAATAGTATGAAAAATAATGTATGCACTCACTAACTGTAAGTCACTCTGGATAAGAGCGTCTGCTAAATGACTAAAAATGTTTTTTTTAAATGGGTGACAGTGACCCAGTGGTCATATGGGGTGACAGTAACCCAGTGGTTATATGGGGTGATAGTGACCCAGTGGTCATTGTTAAGCTATGGTTAAACCCAGCACTCAGAGAAACAAAACACGACTAAGGGAGTGGAAGAAATTTTTTTTTTTTAAATAAAAGTTCAATTTGTCTTAGTCCAAAAACAACTGAAGAAAAGGAACAGAGTGGGCTAGTCGGCTCCGGAGGAAGGAGAGGCTGAGGCAGGCAGGCAGGCAGGCAGGCTGGAAGGCAGGCAGGCAGGTTGGGAGGTATGTCTGAACTGAAGACAAAACAAACGACAGGTTAAGGAGTGTAAAGAGCCAGGCTGAAGACAAAGACAATTTACTCTACTGGTGAGCCAAGTTACCGCTCTAGTAAGAACAACGATCTGGCGCCGGTGGAGAGCCATGCCCAGGAATTAGTAGTGCAGGTTGATGAGAGAATAGGATGCAGCTGCGTAGGCAGGAATAACTGGAAACAACCCGCAGCTGCACAGGAGAGGCAGATCCTGAGCACGCCCCCCGATCCACTCCAGACACACCCACATAATGGGGACAAACACACATACAGATACAACAGACAAAGAGGGGACAAAACAAGGAGGAAGGGAAACAGAAAAGGGAGAGACAAGCTGCCCACATAACAGTCATATGGGGTGACAGTAACTGTCACGATTTAACTAGATATGAACCCAAATGCAGACAACTACACCGAGCCAGAGAAGGTTTAACAGGTTTATTTACAATGTGCAATTGTCCAGGTTTCCAAAAATAGGGGAAGAGCAAGTCCAGGTTTACAGGGAGGGTAACAGATCCAGGTTCTGAGCAGGAGTGGTACCGTAATGTCCTAGTGTCCGTGGTGAGTCCAAAAGGGAGGTCCGGTAGTGGAAAGCTGGATGGTGGTGGCAGGAGTGAAGCGGAGGCAGGAGTCAGGTTCCAATAATCTGTGGCACAGGAGAAAAGTAAATAGAACAGGCCAAAAACACAAAGAGCGAAAACAAGCAGGTTGAGTCAACAGCGAGACTAACATGGTCGTCTTGACTATGATCTGACGATGAGTGGCAAGTTTGACCTGGTCTTTAAGGCTGAGGTGATTATGGTGAATGAGCTGCAGCTGGAACCCTGACTCCCGCACACCAGACTTCACTCCTGCAATCAAGAACATACAGAGGGGAGGGGGAGAGCAGAGAGAGAGCTACCTAGCAGCAGTAGGCCTAACAGTAACCCAGTGGTCATATGGGATGTCCCTAGCCTAGTGGTCATATGTGGTGACAGTGACCCAGTGGTCATATGGGGTGACAGTAACCCAGTGGTCATATGGGGTGTCCCTAGCCCAGTGGTCATATGGGGTGACAGTGACCCAGTGGTCATATGGGGTTGTCCCTAGCCCAGTGGTCATATGGAGTGACAGTGACCCAGTGGTCATATGGGATGTCCCTAGCCTAGTGGTCATATGTGGTGACAGTGACCCAGTGGTCATATGGGGTGACAGTAACCCAGTGGTCATATGGGGTGTCCCTAGCCCAGTGGTCATATGGGGTGACAGTGACCCAGTGGTCATATGGGGTGTCCCTAGCCCAGTGGTCATATGGAGTGACAGTGACCCAGTGGTCATATGGGGTGTCCGTAGCCCAGTGGTCAGAGGGCGACACAGACACAGGGGTGTTTGAGGCAGACGGGGAGGATGCCTTTGTTGATCTGGTGGAACTCCACCAGCTGCAGAAGGTCAACGAAGAGGGTGAGGACATCGTCCATGGTGTAGTACTTCCTACCGCCCTCCTCACACTACACAGAGAAACGAGTTTAAGGAAAGGGTTTAACAGTCAAATAATCTGTCAGGATCGCACACTACATGCATATGACACCGGAGTTAGATAGCAAGCCAATTGCAATCTGCATAACCGTCTGTGCTAAATGATGATGGAAAACACAGAACGTAGACCCTGCATCTGTCACCCTATCACTATCATATTTATCTAGTATGGCTAGACTACGAGATAGCAATGTTATAAGGGAATAGCAAAGGCAAGGCTGACATGACGGGGGAGAGGAAAGTCCACTCACAGGGATGATGAGGTAGTGTTTAGTCTTCAGCTAGTAACACAACGAGAGGACAAAACACTGGGCATGCTGCTGTCTCTCACGAACCAGGAACATTCTACACACACAGATTATACAATATGCACACAATGTGTTAGATGTCACCCAAGGTGAGCATGTTGTTTACTCACAAAGATAAATGCAAAGGCGTTACATGCAAAGATGTGCCCACAACAAGCAGGCACACATACCCGTTCACCAATCCCTGTTCCTCTATCAGCCTCTGGGCCTGCTTTTTCTTTTTCTCCTTCTTCTCACCTCAGTGCTGTTCCCCATCCCTCTCTTTTAAGTCCTCACCTCACTGATCTTTACCCATGTCCAGTCTCAGCTCCATCTCTCTTCATCCCAGCCACTTTCCGTTCTCCCTCTCCCCCCGTTATCCTCATCCTCCATGCCTGTCCCTCCTCCCTCTCTGCGCTCTGGGCCTCCCGGGCGTTCTGGATGACCCAGCCCCCCTCCTTACCTGAGAAGTCCAGAAGGTGAGGTGCTGACTGGGACAGCTGGTGGTTACACTGCAGCTGCCTCCCATACTGTCCCCGAAGACACAGGAGGAATGTATAGGGTAAGCAGGAGTACATGTATCCTTTTTTTAGCCATCATCTTACCCAGTATGCGTATGCCAAGAATGTTATGTTTTTATAATGAAGTTCAGTTCATGATGTATTGATACCTGAGTACTGGTTTCTCCACACATTGAATAGTCTAAATGCAGAGGTCCAGCAGGTGTGTCTGTTCATTCTCCGCACACAGCAGCTTTAAGTCCTGTGCACGAATGTGGTCTTTGCTGGGCTACAAACAAAGAAACATGTAAGCATCCTATTTGAGAACACTGCCCTTTTGAACAAAGCCCTGAATGGTTGTAATGGTTACCTTGACACAGAAGGTGAAGTTCACATGGGCACCATAGAGCTTGCGGCTGTTGGTGACACTGTATCATGTTTCAGGAGAAGACCCAGATGCAGACAGTGTCGAAGTAACAAAAGTTCATTACAAAAACAGGGGGCAGGCAAACGACAGGTCAAGGGCAGGCAGAGGTCAGTAATCCAGGGTGGTGTAACGTACAGAACGGCAGGCAGGCTCAGGGTCAGGGCAGGCAGAATGGTCAAAACCGGAAACAGGAGACAAAGGGCTGTGAGACATGGGTTTGATCCTAGACACATGAAAATAGGGATGTATACGGAGGGTACGGGGCTAACAGAAGATGAACAGCAGAGGGGCTAATGATCTTGGAGATGGGGAAAGGGACGATAAACCGGGGGGAAAGTTTGTGGGACTCAACCCGGAGGGGCAGATCTCGGGTGGACAGCCATACCTTCTGCCCGAGACGATAACGGGGAGCCGGGGTCCAGTGGCAGTCCGCTTGTCGTCGATACCTGGAGGTGGTCTTGAGAAGAGCCGACCGGACTCTTCTCCAGGTACTATGACAGCGGCAGACAAACATCTGGGCCGAGGGTATGCTGACCTCTTCCTCTTGCTGCGGGAAGAGCGGGGGCTGATAACCCAGGGAACACTCAAAGGGCAAAAGACCCATGGCAGAGCAGGGAAGGGTGTTGCAGGCGTATTCAACCCACACTAGTTGCTGGCTCCAGGTGGTGGGGTTGGCGGAGACCAGGCAGCGCAGAGTCGTCTCCAGGTCTGCAGGTGGCGACAAACGCGGAGACGTCAGGAACCATGGTAGGCCACCAAAAGCGTTGTCGCACAAAGGCCAGGGTCCGGCGGGAGCCTGGGTGGCAGGCAAGCCTGGAGGAGTGGGCCCACTCCAGGACCGTGGAGCGGACAGCGTCAGGAACAAACATCCGGTTATCTGGGCCCCCCCCCCCCCCCCCCCCGGGGTTCGGCTGCTTCCCTATTCCCCAACTGAGTGCCAACGCCAAGCACAAGGTGGTAAGGATGGTCTCAGAATCCGGGGGTGTAGCCGCGGGGATATAGCGGCGTGACAGCGCATCTGGCTTGACATTCTTGGATCCCGGTCGGTATGAGAAGGAGAAGTTGGACCGGGTGAAAAGCAGGGCCCACCTAGCTTGCCTGGAATTGAGACACTTGATGATGTAGCCCAGGAAGGGGATGGTGGAGCGATGGAATTCGCATTTCTTCGCTTTCACAAAAAGCTGGTTCTCCAGGAGGCGTGGAGCACATGTTCTTGGGCGAAGCGGGAGAAGCCAACGATGTCGTCGAGGTAGACGAAGATTAACCGGTTCAACATGTTGCGGAGAACATCATTAACAAGGGCCTGGAACACAGCTGGAGCATTGGTAAGGCCAAATGGCATGACCAGATACTCGTAGTGACCGCTGGCTGTGTTGAAGGCAGTCTTCCACTCATCCCCCTCCCGTATCCGCACCAGGTGGTAGGCGTTCCGTAGGTTCAGCTTGGAGAACACGTTGGCCCCCTGGAGCGGCTCGAAGGCCGAGGAGATAATAATAATAAATAATATGCCATTTAGCATATTGAGTTGAGTGGTAGTGGGTAGCGGTTCTTCACCGTGATGTCGTTTAGGCCCTGGTAGTCGACGCACGGGCGCAGGGTTTTGTCCTTCTTCTCCACAAAGAAGAACCCTGCGCCAGCGGGGGAGGCAGAAGGACGGATGAACACGGCAGCTAGGGAGTCCTCAATGTAGGTCTCCATAGCCTTGGTCTCCGGACCCGACAGGTAGTACAGTCGTCCCCGGGGCGGAGTGGTGCCTGGGTGAAGGTTGATTCCGCAGTCGAAGGGTCGGTGTGGTGGAAGCGAAGTGGCCCGGGCCTTACTGAACACCTCCCGGAGGTCCTGGTACTCCGTGGGAATGGCGGAGAGGACCGAGGCAAATTCCGAGCCCCCAGGAAGACGTCCCGGGGTAGGCTGCGCTGACTTCAGGCAATGAGCGTGGCAGAACCGTAAAAACCTTGGTTTCTTGCATGTTAACATCAGAAGCCTCCTCCCTAAGTTTGAGTTATTCACTGCGTTAGCACACTATACCAACCCTGAAGTTCCAGCAGTGTCTGAATCCTGGCTTAGGAAGGCCACCAAAAATTCAGAAATGTCCATCCCGAACTACAACATTTTCCGTCTAGATAGAACTGCCAAAGGGGGCGGAGTTGCAATCCACTGTAGAGATAGCCTGCAGAGCTCTATCATACTATCCAGGTCTATGCCCAAACAGTTTGAGCTTCTACTTCTAAAAATCTTTCCAGAAATAAGTCTCTCACTGTTGCCGCTTGCTACAGACCCCCCTCAGCCCCCAGTTGTGCCCTGGATACCATATGTGAATTGCTTGCCCCCCATCTATCCTCAGAGTTCGTACTGCTTGGTGACCTAAATTGGGATATGCTTAACACCCCGGCCGTCCTACAATCTAAACTAGATGCCCTCAATCTCATACTAATTATCAAGGAACCTACCAGGTACAACCCTAAATCGGTAAACATGGGCACCCTCATAGATATCATCCTGACTAATTTACCCTCTTAATACACCTCCGCTGTCTACAACCAGGATCTCAGCGATCACTGCCTCATTGCCTGCGTCTGTAATGGGTCCGCGGTCAAACGACCACCCCTCATCACTGTCAAACGCTCCCTAAAACACTTCAGCGAGCAGGCCTTTCTAATTAACCTGGCCCGGGTGTCCTGGATGGATATTGACCTCATTCCGTCAGTAGAGGATGCCTGGATGTTCTTTAAAAGTGCTTTCCTCTCCATCTTAAATAAGTATGCCCCATTCAAAAAATTCAGAACTAAGAACAGATATAGCCCCTGGTTCACCCCAGACTTGACTGCCCTTGACCAGCACAAAAACATCCTGTGGCGTACTGCATTAGCATCGAACAGCCCCCGCGATATGCAACTTTTCAGGGAGGTCAGTATACACAATCAGTTAGGAAAGCAAAGGCTAGCTTTTTCAAACAGAAATGTGCATCCTGTAGCACTAACTACAAAATGTTTTGGAACACTGTAAAGTCCATGGAGAATAAGAGCACCTCCTCCCAGCTACCCACTGCACTGATGCTAGGAAACACTGTCACCACTGACAAAAAATAAGCATTTTGCTACGGCTGGCCATGCTTTCCACCTGGTTACCCCTACACCGGCCACCAGCTCTGCACCCTCCGCTGCAACTTGCCCATACCCCCCAAGGAGAAGGAGAAGCCGCGTTGGACAACTACAGGGAGTTCGCTTGCCTCTTCCGGGCAGTTTTCGATCACCCACCTGAAGGTAGAGAGGCAGGCGAGCGGCTGGTCCAACTGAGGCAGGGGACGAGGACCGCGCAGGACTTTGCCCTGGAGTTTCGTACTCTAGCGAATGGGTCTGGGAGGAACGAGTGGGCCCTCATCAACAGTTTCCGGTGCAG